AGGGTTTAGGGTCTAGGGCTTAAGGATTAGGGTTTAGGACTTGGTAGATAATCAGAAAAGGCCTCAGGCATACGCCAGCATACGGGAGTATTGCCACTAGTCAATCGTAACCCCAAAACCCTGAAGCCTGGTCTTTCCAAGCTCCATAATTCCGACCTCAACTGGCTTCGCTCTGGCTCGACATTCTCACATCTCAGAACCCCAGTGAAGGATCACCAACTTGCATTTGGACTCCCGAATTCTGAACCCTAAACCTATAAACCCTAAAACCCAAAACCCTAAACCCTAAACCCTAAACCCTGAAGACCTCCGACAGCATAGTTTAGGGTATCTATAGGGCTTCTATAAGGCTTCCATAAGGTATATAGACCTTCTATAAGGCTCCTATACCGGTAACTCCCCACCTGAAAATGTCCTAGACCTACAGCCCAAACCCTCAATCCCAAGTAAACCCTGGGACCCGGCCTGCACCAAGCGCTTGATCACCGACTGCTCCGTATCTGCAGAGCCCTGCAATTTCGGCAGGCGCCCGAGCTCCAAATAGCCGGTGGAGCTCCTCCAGAGCTCTTTCGTGATATATGGTCCCAGAATGAGCCGAAACCCTAAACCCCTAAACTCCCAAACCCTACAATGGCCCTACAAGGGTATAATGAAGGGCTCGTCTAAAGGGCTCCAGGCTGCAAAAAAGGTGCTATGAGGCGTTTCGTGTTTGAGGGCCCTTAATACCTAGAATTGGGCTTGGGGGTATACTATGGAGATTATCATAAGGAACCCTAAGGATTAATCTGAATACTACTCAGGCTTCTAACCCTGAACCCCTAAACCCTAAACCCTAAACCCCATCAAGTGTATTCATCATCGTCCCGGCAAACACCCATTGTCTCGAATTCGGGGCAAGAGGAGCTCGAAGGACTCTACGCCCTAAATCCGTGAAGAACCTTGTTTAGGGGTTTAGGGTTTAGGGTTTAGAGTTGAGGGGTTTAGGGGTTTCGGGTTGAGGGTTTAGGGTCTTAGAATTTAGGGTTTAGGGTTTCAAAACTTTCCACAAGAACGGGAACCCTGAACATTAACGCAAAATGTACAAGGCAATCTTGACAAAGCCAGTCGGCCAACCTCCAAAGCTGACCCTACTAATGGTTCAGGGTTTAGGACTTAGGTTTATAGAGGTCCGAGTCGGTCCGAGCAGCAATGTTGGGTGGTAAAAGAATACGGAACAGTCATTCCAGACTACACTATACTATACTGTTCTATACTATACTGTGCTGTACTGTAGTATACTATACTATACTGTAGTGTACTATACTGTGCTGTAGTATACTATACTGTACTGTAGTATACTAGACTACACTGTGCCATGCCCTACTATACCCCAGGTTTGCAAGGTTAGAGGAAACTACAGGTGGGGAGTTTAGGATCTATAGGGCTTCTATAAGGCTTCCATAAGGTATATAGACCTTCTTTAAGGCTCCTATATATAACGGTAACTACCCACCTGAAAATGTCCTAGACAAGGACCCCACCGACCACGAGGCTCCTTCCCAGGAACAATAAACCTACACTCTCAACAATAAGCCCTAAAACCCTAAACCCCCAAACGGCCCTAAACCCTAAACCCCCAAACGGCCCTAAAACCCTAAACCCCCAAACGGCCCTAAAACCCTAAACCCCCAAACGGCTCTAAACCCTAAACCCTAAAACCCTGAAACCCTAAACCCCCAAAACCCTAAACCCTAAAGCCCTGCCACCAGAAACCCTAAATTCAAAACACACGTCTTGATGCGCCAGGTGCGTGGGGAGGGACTCACCCAGTCCCGCCCCGCCAGCAATCGATGCTGACTCGCCTGGGTCCCCGCTTTCTGGCAATGCTATACTACTATACTATACAGACTAGAGACTGTACCATACTAGACTATACTATACTGTATTATTTTCTACTATACTATACTATACTATACTATGCTATGCTATACTAAACTATACTATACTATACTAAACTATACTATACTCTACTATACTCTACTCTACTCTACTCTACTCTACTATACTATACTATACTATACTATACTGTACTGTACTATACTAGACCATACTGTACTAAACAATACTGTACTAAACAATACTATACTATACTATACTATACTATACTAGACTATACTATACTATACTATACTATACTATATTATGCTATACTATACCATCTATACTATACCATATTATGCTATGCTATCATATACGATACTATACTATACTGCACTTTGCTCCTAAACTGTACTGTGCCGTACCGTACTATGTTATACTATGGTGTACTGTACTATACTGCACTGTATTATGTTGTATGTGCTGTACTTGCCTAAATCCTAAACCCCAAGCCCCAACTGTCGAGTTTGGGCTTTGGGAGCTTAGGGTTTAGGGTTTCGGGTTTAGGGTTTGCGAAATAGTTTCAGTATCCGCAGGGGACCCCTATACGGGCTCTTGAGAGGATCTATAGGGACCTACGTTCGAGGTGGGCTTCGGCCTATCTAGTAGTAGATGCAGGTCGGGACTCTCCAATTTTGCGACCGTAATTCTTTATGTCCGATATGATTACAGCAACGAGCCCTGAAAAAAATATTATTAGCAGCTATTTTGGCTTCTGTATTGAATATGTATAATACTCATTATACAAACCCCTGAAGTTACCCTTCTAGAACCCTTTAAAGGGGCCCTCAAAGGAATAAACCCAAATCCCCTGAACCGCTAAGCCCTAACTCCTACAATCCTTAGTAAACCCTTAACTGGTAAACTCCTAAACTCCTTAGTAACCCCAGGCCCCCTAGACCCTAAACCTTAAAACCTAAACCCTAAACCCTAAACCTTAAACCCTAAACCCTAAACCCTAAACCTTAAACCCTAAACCTTAAAACCTAAACCCTAAACCTTAAAACCTAAACCCAGGCCGATCTCCTGGTTCGCGCCAACATCGGCTGCGGCTTCCAAGTCCCAGGGCTCAGTGAAGCAAACCGCGACAGCCGCTCCTACGGTAGGTTTAGGGTTTAGGGTTTAGGGTTTAGGGTTTAGGAATTCTAGTTTCTAGGGTTTTCTTTCCCCATCGGAAAAACCCTAGAAACTAGAAACTAGGGTTTTAGGAGTTTGGGTTTATTGGACTTCAGGGATTAAGGGTTTCCCTAAACCCTGAACCCTAAAGGTTTAGGGCTGAGGGTTCAGGCTTTAGGGCTCCAAGCATCTAGGATTTGGGGGTTTCCGAAAATAAAGGACCCAAATATAGTACCCTAAATAGTAGGATCCCTATTATAAGGACCCCAAAATAAGGTACCCCCTTTTTTTGAAACTCCCATTTAACTTAGCCTTAGGGCTCTAGGTTTGTAGGATGCCGGGCTTCCGGGAGTCACCATTAGGAGTTTAGGGTTTAGGAGTTTAGGGTACGTATTAGAGTTTAGGGTTTAGGAGTTGTTGGTTTATAGGGTTTAGGGTTTAGGGAAGTGCTGAACCGAACAAATGGAATCCTTTCTGCAGGGGACACTGGCAGATCCTCCAAAACATGGGCTCTGCTCTCCACCACGGACGTCCAGGCCGAAGCAGCCTCTGCGAGAGGAGCCGAGTGCACCCACGAGACATTCAAACGACTGAAGGAACAGCGATGATGATGCCCTAAACCCTAAACCCTAAACCTAAGTTTAGGGTCTAGGATGCCGAGGACAATGATGGTGATGGCAACGATGCTGATGATGAAGAAGATGATGATTATGAGGACGAGGAGGAGGATGGTAACGTAACGATCGTAATGGTGCTGATGATCATGACGACATTGACGAGGCTCTGGCTGTGACTTTAGCCCTTTTAGTATGTTCGTCGTTGTCGTGATTGCCACATATATCTGAACCCGAAACTACATCCTAAGCCCTAGGCCCTAACCACGTCCTCTACGATGTCTTAGGTCGCTATCATCTGCAGCCAACATGCCGGAGCGCCTCAAACCCGAACAGATTGAAACCCAAAGAACAAAAAGCCGAGACAAACTCCGAGAACCTTTGCGGTAGGGAAGATCTCATTACGGTATAGTCCGAAGGGGATGTTACGATGCTAAAACAGAAACGCTACACCCCTAAGCCTCTGCACGCTGGACCCTCGCGTTCGCCTGGGATCCGGGGCACACGCCGCAGCCAGCACCACAGGCGACAAGGAACCTGGGTTCGGGATTTAGGGTGTAATATAGGGGCCTTCATAATTCGAATAGGGTTCCTTTAAGGGGTTCCCTAAAAGGGTTACTATAAGGGCTCCCATTAGGGTATAGGGGCCGTAATAGCTAGAATAGGGTTTTGGGACCCAGTACACTCTAATTATAATAAGGAACCCCCCAAAATAGGATTCGTAATTGTTTTGGCCCCTACAGTAGGCCCGGCGTAGGCTTCCGCTGCTTAAAAGGATGTTGGAGGTTCTGCAAAGCTTTGTGGAGCTTCCTGCTGCAACTGTTGAACCACCCTAAACCCTAAACCCTAAACCCTAAACCCTAGACCCTAAACCCTAAACCCTAAACCCTAAACCCTAGACCCTAAACCCTAAACCCTAAACCCTAGACCTCGTCGTCGTCGCAAGCGGTGGTGTTGTAGTTGTTGTTATTTTGCTGTTGCTGTTGTAGTCGAAGTAGCACCAGTAGCAGCAGCAGCAGTATGACTATGTTCTGAACACGTGACACCATCCTTCTCCGGGCACCAGGCTTTTATGTGTCCCGAAACATAGAAGCAACAAAACCCCAAGACCTAAGCCCGCTGGCACCAAGGCACTGCGTAGCCTCTGTCAAATCTTGGGCATCGCCCAGCAGCTGCCGTGCAGCGAGGACGAGCCTTGGAAAACCCTTCTGAAGGCTCGTCTGGGGGTTCGTTTAAGGGCTCCTTTAAGGGTTCTACTGAGTTTACTTCAAAGGCTCCTTTACGGGTTCTACCGATTTACTTTAAGGGCTCGTTTAGAGGTTCTACCGGGTTTAGTTTAAGGTATCCTTTAAGCGTTCTACCGGGTTTAGGGTGTAGAAATTATGGTTTTGAGCTTGGGGTTTAGGGATATATTGGTGGTTTGGGTGTGAAGGCTCGAGGCTTGAAGGTCGCGAGCTTTGAGGTTTGAAAGTTTAGGGTTTAGGGTTTAGGGGTTGTGGGTTTGTTTGGGAGGTGATTATGGCTCGGGAGGTTTTGAGTTCTGTGTTTGGGGCTAAGGGCTGTAGGGTTGCAGAGATACTGGGTAAGATGTGGGGTTAGTTCTTTTGAGATGGAGCGCCTGGAGCTTTAAGGTATTTTGGCTAGAGTTTGCTAGGTCTGAAGGCTCCTGGGCTAAGGCTTTCGGGCTTGAGGTCCAGCAGCGGATCTCTTAGGATGTACCATATCTCAGCGTTCACAGGGCTCTGAGATCATGATACGCTTCATACTCTACTGGCACACAGATGTTGCGGTCTTCTCCTCGGCTTTCTGTCGTTCAGGTTCGGGTTTCTGGACTCTGGGTGCAAGTTCGGTGCATCACTCTGAAACCCTGAACCCGAAACCCGAAACCGCTTTTTTCCAAGTCCTGTCACCGCGCGTGCTTTGCAGGCCTGGTAGAAGGAGCAGGTCGGGGCTTTCGGTTTAGGGTTTAGGGCTTGGTTTAGGGTTTTGGGTTTTGGGGCCTGGAGCCCACAAAGCCTAGACCCTAAACCCCAAACCCCAAGCCTTGAACCCTAAACTTAAACCCCAAACCCTGATCTAAAGCCCCATACAGGAAACCTTCGCGGACCCATATAGAACCCTAAACAGCCAAGGTCGTCCGTGCTCTTCGCCACTGCCCGCGAGTTCTTATGCAGGAACTGCTCTGATCACCTGTCGATCTCGCTCGGGGTTGCTCCCGTGGCGTGGTTCGTGAGGATCCAGTCCAAGGAGCTCGTGTAGATGAGCCCCGCGGGGCGGAAGCACAAACTGCCTGACGACCTGGGACACCGACCATTGGCCTTCAAGAAACGTGCTTAAAAGTGTTTGGGCTTAGAGTTAACGGCTTCGGGTTGAAGGACTAGGGTCTAGGGATTGATCCGGGGTGTACGGTACATGTGTGTGGAGAAAGTCTCGAGGCAAACCTACACTCCTGCTGTGGGCCGCACAAGCTGTAGCTAAGCCCGGGAAGATTTGCGGACAGCTGGTTGAGCTCCTGGCAAAGGATCCCCCCAGTCCGAAGCCCTTAGCCTCTCAATCCTCAACCCTAAACCCCTAAACCCTCTAAGCCCCTTACACTCTTCAAGAGCCTTAAACCTCAAATGCAAAAACCCAAACCGCCAAACTCCAGACCATTGGGGAGGACACCCGACCAGGGATCCCAAATGATTCGATCCGAGCTGTGCGGCGTGACCGGACCTAACATACGGGCCTTGATGATCTTAACCCCCAAACCCTAAACCCAAAGAAAAGCCCGTATAGTTTTGCTAGGCTGAACCCCCAGGCCCTTTTCTAGAATCGGGCTGGATGATAGCGACCTCCCCCGTGTAAGATCGCGATGAGAAGGAGGTGGTTAGCAAGAGCATCCCCTCACAACAAACGTCACCAAAGCCTATTCTAAGTAAGGCCACGGCCCATACTACAACCCCATACAACGTCTTGAAACAAACTGAAAACCCTCTGTATTCAAGAAGACCCGGTTCTGGTTCTTAAGGCCCCTCGATGACTTGCTCATAGACTGAAGCTCGGGTTTAGGGTTTAGGGTTCAGGGGTTTAGGGTTTAGGGTTTCCTTTAAAATAACGAATTGAGACCCTGCAGGGTTGTTGGGGTTTAGGGTTTAGGGTTTAGGGTTTAGGGTTTAGGGTTTAGGGTTTAGGGTTTAGGGTTTAGGGTTTAGGGTTAGGGCTTAGGTCCGCCATGCCCAGGAATTTCCGGAGCCCGGCTTCCTCGACTTCGACTGCCCTGTGTTAAAGGAAACTACAGGTGGGGAGTTTAGGGTATCTAGAGGGCTTCTATAAGGCTTCCATAAGGTATATAGACCCTCTATAAGGCTCCTATAACGGTAACCACCTGAAAATGTCCTAGACAATACCAGGTGCCATGTTTGCAGGAACTCACTTTGCGCTTTGGTGCGCAGGACTGGAATGCGAAGCACTGGCCGCATGGGTCACCATAACTCTGGCATGGATGCTCGGAAAATAGATGCATTGGCAACATCGGTTTCGGCATAAGCGTGTGATCGTAGCTCTAGTCTGGCCCCCACGCACTTCTTGAAGCCCTTTGTGCTCCATTGTCGGTATGCCTTCCAGCCTTCTGCGCCATGCCGCAAGAAACAGAAGAGCCGCAGGATACGATCTGCTTCGGCCGCCAGTCGTTGGCCAGCAGGTTGTTCACATGTCAAGGGCTGTCATACTTCGGCTGCTTAGCGCTGGGCGACCCCACGGCAAAGTCCAAAACGCCTATGATTCAGGATGCAAGGGCTCTATGGAGTATGATGAAGTTCCTGTAGGGCTTAGGTCGTGGGGCTCCACATAGCCGTATTTCGTTTAGGATGCCCTAAACCCGAAACCCCCATGTCACCCATGGATCCCTACTCCGCAAGTCCCGGCGGCCTGGAACCCCAAAAGCCCCAGAGATGAGCATTTAAGCTTTCAGATTCGGATGTTAGAAAACCGAGCCAACCCTAAACCCCTGACAGGTCTCTTGCTTTTGAGCTTAAGGGTTGCTTAGGGAACAGGGCTTTGAGAGGCGTAGTGAAGCCTAAACCCTAAACCCCTAAACCCTAAACCCTACACCCCTTAACCCTAAACCTAGTGTGTAATACAGTGCCCCTAACAACTAGAATAGGATTTTGAGGTATGTTAGAGTATAACTACATAGAATAAGGAGCCCCATAATAGGGTTTAGGGTCCGCGTTTGGCCCTATGCCCGGCCACTCCCTGGGCAGCAAGACCCTTACCTCCAAACCCAAAGTTTCAACCAGGAACCCGAAGCCCTACAGCCCAAACTCTGCATCTCCAAGCCTAGGTCTTAGGGCTCAGGGTTTAGGGTTTAGGGTTTAGGACTTCGGGTTTAGGGTTTAGGGTTTAGGGCTAGGGTTTGGGGCTTAGGGTTGAGGGTTTCCTAGCTTCCTAGGTCCCTAAACCCTAAATCAACCACTCTGACTCCGTACCTCCCGCACAAAACCCCAGACTTCAAGACCCTAAGCCCTAAAACCCTACATCCCACGACCGAACCTCGAAAAGCCCGCCAAGGAAGGAGATGATATCATCGCCCGACCTAGGGTTAAGGGTTTAGGGCTTAGGGTTCAGGGTTTAGGGTTCAGGGTTCAGGGTGTAGGGTTTAGGGGTTTGGGCCTTGACAGATTGCGCCATACAAGGGGCTTGTTAATCCGAAGACGGGTTTTGGGCTGCATTTTGCATAACTGTATGCTAGGATTGTGTATTTGACAGAGAGACCTTTTCACTAGAGAGTATGAAAGGTTTAACATAGAAGCCTGAATACTTCGAAGGGGGCTGCGGGGGAGCTTTGTGATTTGAGCATATGGGGCTGGAGCGTTAACTGTAGGCCTCAATACTTAAAGGAGGGACGCTTGAAACCATGGGCCCCAAGTATGGGCCGATAACCCTGAGATCCTTATACACCTTCTATATACCCTATAAATATCCTTCAGGGTCCCTAGAAAGGCCTAAGGGTCCATATTAGGGGCCCATACTTCTAACCTTAGTTATATAGGGACTAGAAAAGCTCTGGTCATTACTCGTGTGATGAGTATCAGCATTGCTAGAATTGCAGTTGGGCTGGACTGTGCCCACTGGGTTTCGGGGCTCTAGGGTTCTAGGATCTCGGGTTGTGGCTTCAGGGGTTTAGGGTTTAGG